TATATACCATTTTAATTATTGTTTCAACTAAAATAATAGCAATTCGTTTATTCCAAATATTAACAATTTAGTTGATTTTACCAATAAAATTTCTTTGTGTGCATACATGTAATTACAAAATTTTACCATTTTATGAAATCTTGTCCCATTGTAGGTAACAATTTTCACCATACCATATACACTGCTTAAGTATTGAAGTGGATATAAGAATTTTAAAATTGTTAACGTAAATATTTAAACTACATAATTTCAAGTAGGTACATTGAATAATAGTTTACTGATGGATGTTTAGAAAAAAAATCAAAAAAAGATTATTAAATTTGAGGCCTGTCAGAGCAAAGTCAACAATCTCCCGTCAGACTAAAACTGAGTAAATTGAGACAATTGATTTTGGTATTTTAAATTCTAGATTTGTAATTTTTTTATGTATTATATTGAAATATTGTTGTTGTTAGTCTAGTAGCCAACTACAAGGTCTCCAGGATTCATAGTATAGGTGAAATCTATAATTATAAATTGGAGATTGCTGACTTTGATATGAATTGCTGGAGATTGCTCATTTTGTTGTAAACGTTTAAGGAGATTTAGAAAAATAAACAAAAAAATAATTGTATTTTTCTCCATTTAATGGTTATAAAATTTAACTATACAATCAATGTGGGAAAATTCTGAACTGGACCACATAAATCTGGAGTTTCTTCTAAATCTGGGACCAGGTTGCCTCGTGCAAAAAAATTTTATAGTACAACTCATCATCTCCTTCCCACTTTGCCCCTTAATGTTTTACTTGCAATGTTTTGACATTATCAGCCTTTTCTTGCTTTACCTTTTCGTCTTATTATGGTATAATAGCACAAAATAAACAAGATAACTTTTTTTTATAATTCTTAAAACAATAAAACGTAGATTTACCTATTTTATATATATTTTTAAGTGCAATTTACTGCAATAGAACTTCACAGTATGTACCAGTAAAAAAAAACAAAATTAAATCTCTAAAATACGTTATAACTTCATATGTTAGGATATCAGGTAACACAAATTACTAATTTCTAATGGTGGAATTGGAGATTGTATACTTTGCTGCAAATCTCAGTGGAGATTGTCGACTTTGCACTAAATGTCATTTTTAAAATAGGATTTTAGGCAGGATTTAGCTCCTTTTGCAGCACATAAACTTTTTCATCTTATAGATAATTAGTTGAAGTATAGTCTCCGCCAAAAATCTAATTTTTGACCAAAAGTGGAGATTTTTGGACCTCATTTGAAGAAATGTGTAATTAAAGTTAAAAATACAAATATAAGAAAAGTAACAATTCAGTTCAGTTTTTGTATTGCTGGTATTCGCACCACAGCTGCAGCTGTATAAAAGTTTAATATCGTGTACACAATATAGGACCACCCCTCCCCTTAATGCTATTACCCTGTTTGGAAGACGCATGATCAAATTATTAATAAAGTCTCGAGGTATGTTTTGCCAGATTGCTTGCAACTCATTGGCCTTGTGTTGCAATGTTTGGGGAGTGTTGAAGCCGATTGAATTGCCTGGACATTTCGGCCCAAACGTGTTCAATGCAATTCATGTCTGGTAAACATGCTGGAAATTCCGTTTTCGTAATCCCATGATATTCTATTCGATCGTATACAAGCCGTGCACGATGAGGGCGGGCATTATCGTCGATAAAAACAAATCTTTCACCGATTGCACCTGCAAATGGCACAATTATCGGCTCTATAACCGTATTAAGATATCTTTGAGCAGTAACGGTTTCATTAATAAGGATTAGTACGTCAGTGCGGCCATCAAAACGTATGCCTCCCCATACGCAAACTGATCCGCCACCAAAAGGAGTGGTTGGCGCCATGAAATTTTCATTGTATCGCTGTCCTCCATACCCAATATTCGACCATAACACGTATACAAATTGAATCTTGACTCTTCAGAAAAAGGACAATCCCTCCAATTTTGGTGTTCTGTAGCCCAACGATATCTGCATGCACGTTGCCCCGGTGTTAACTGTGGATGTCTTCTTGCTCTTAAGTTAGATGCGTGCAACCTTCTTCTAACAGAGAAGAAATTACTCTTCCAGTAGCTTGCCTGAAGAAATTGTTAATTCTTGAAGCTGTAAATGTTCGGTTTCTTATGGGAGTCAGCACTATTAAAAACGGTAACACATTCAACCTTGTAGCGACTTCTTCTTGAGGTAAAACTTCTCGTATCCAGCGCATTAATTGCTCGAGTTGAAGTGCTTATAATCGTCGTAACGGCATAATTTTTATGCCAATTAACTGATTTATTGCTAATAACAAGTAATAAAAGCGGTACAAGAACTTCCCAGAACATACAGAGTAGTCGAGTAAAGTGCGGTGCGAACAGGGTTACTACATACCTGTACAGGTGAAATCAGGATACCTGTTCTCCAAAGGATTAATAGAAACCTTAAATAATTCCTCAAAAGGCAATCTCTCAACGGTGAACACAGGGGTGAGGTCCGTGCGGACACGGAAGTAATAAAGTGACAGGGGACAGGTTAAGGAATAACCTATTTAAAGAAAAAACGAGTCTAACCAAAAGTGGAAGGGATCATCACCTTCAGATTCTGATAAGTATCATTGCATGACCTAATACGCAAATCTGTAACAAAAACCTGGCAATAATTAATCATTTTCGATAACAGCGTAGGAGTGAAAAAAAACCAAATCAAGTAACGTCACAATATTATATAATTGTATTATATATATTATATATATACGCATAAACTTACAGGCCAGCTACAAATTAAAGCTTTTAAAAAAAAGTAAATAAACAGTCTCTTAATAAACAAAACGACCACGTTAAAGTCTAACGTAAAGAAACCATATATTAAAGCATACGTTACACGCCTGCCATTAGGGTCGTATTCCAAATTTTAATACGATACACCACAGGGCCAGCTTTATCTATTTTGTATATTTTTAAATTAAATTTGGAATAAAAAGTAAGAATGCAAAGATATAAATTAAATAATAATAAACGGTATAAACATTAATTTAACAATGAAATAAATAAAGAATATACAAGGTCGGTAGCCGGCACTCGGCATGAGGAATATCCACCAAGGCAGAGTGCAGTTACGGCGGGTCGTGGGCGTCAACACTTCGGTACTGAATACAAGATTCAGTATCTCACAGGGGGGCAAACAATTCTAAAGAGGTTACCAGGAACTACTAACACTTCTACCCCCATTCACGAATCCCAATTGAATGGGGTTATTACTAAGGCCCCGGTTGAGGAGGATTCCGGATTGTACTTAGTTTTGGGTCAGTTCAATATCCTCCAAAAACAAACTTTTACCCTCCTTGTCTTACTCTACACTAGCCTAAACTGGGCGTATGGCCCGACCCGGCGACAAAAATCCGGGAGTGGCCTTAACCATCGACACTGCCATCCACGACCTCCTAGGGTAGATCTACCAGCCGGCGTAAAAACTTCGGATCCAAGAAATACAGGTAATGCTGTGCAGTGGCGGGATACGTAGGAGAACGGAAAGGGGGTAAAATAACCCTGGGAGATTAGTGTAAGGTAATTTCGATGGGGTCTGTCCCCATACTCATACTACTCATACTCAAGAACCAGAAAACCATGGAAAGAAATTGGTCAACTTTTTCCCAACTAAGTTTGGTGTAGGATATTTTACATTTATTGGGCTTTACTTGGACATATAAATTGTATTTTCATTAATTTTGACCAAAAATTTGCATATTTTATGCCAATCATTTCCCAACGCGATAGCACAAAAACTACATGAAAATAAAGACTTAAGTGTAGTTATTTTTGGCCAACTTCGTTTATATACAGTGTGACCCATTTGTTTGCGACTCACCCCTGTAAAATCTTTATTTATTGTGCGATTTTAACAGGATTAGTTTTAAAGTGTATAAACATATTAGTACAAAATTCAAGGCCTACTATGTCAGTTTTTAAGAGTAAATTTTTAAGAATTCATATTAGCGATTTAACAAAAAAATCTAAGCACGGCAATGGATTCTCCACCCCTCAAAACGACCCTATACTAAATTTTATTGATTTATCGCCATTGCACAAAAATCATATGAATATTAACTTATATTGTACATTTTTTGTCAAAACCTTTCCAAAGGTGAAAGGGCAAGTTTTGACCTGATAATATCAGGTCATATTATGGCTCTCTGGGTTCTGCTTCACTAAAAGGTTTTAATTTTGAAAACCACACTTCTACATATTTGAGTTCAAGAAGTAACAGCAAAACAATAAATACAGAGTGGTATCGACTTAACAACATTATTAGATACATTAAAATTTCGGGATAATTATAATTATCCAGTTTATTGTGAACATGTAGGTATACTTCTATGTAATTTTGAACAATTTATCACAAAAGACTTAAAATTTTTATTTAAAAAATATTATAAAATCTTTCGATTAAAATGAAATTTATAAATTCGAAAAAAAAAAGCCAGGGGTTCTCAAAATAATTAAAAAAACTGAAAACCTGTTAAAACCAAAATCGTTATAACTTCGTTATTCCTGGGTAGTTCAAAAGTAAAATGTACATGTAAACATACACATTAAAATCTACATTTTTATCGGATTTCTTCGCTACTATATTTTGAGTTATCATCACCATCTTTCGTTTTTATAATGGCCGCCATAACTTTTGTAGTTTGATACATCGTTGGATTCCTGGCGAAAAAAATTACAAATTGGATGAAAATGTATGGAGATAAATGTGTATGTTTACCTACATGTAAAATTTATTTTTTAAAAATTTACAGGATCAACAAAGTTAGGTATAACGATTTTTTTTTAATTATTTGAAAACCGCAGATTTTTTTTTCAATTTTTAAATGCCATTTTTCTCTAATTTAACCGATCTTGTAGATCTTTAAATAAAAAATATACCCATACATAGAAGGACTTGGTATCCATTATGTGGTTAATCAATTAGGTATGTAGTATTCAAGATAATTATAAACATGTACAAATTTATTTATTTATTTAGTTTCACCAGTAAACATTCTCGACATAAAATTTTAACATAAACACGTACAGGAAATAAAATAGTAAAAAATAATATTAAAAATCACTTAAGCTTCGCATTTAGTTCCAGCAATAATGTCATCTACTTTTGTTTTGAATATTCTGTAGTTGATTTGGTTTGGATCCAAACCTCTGTAGATGAAAGCAGGCATTCTGTCGGATAAAACCCAGAGGTTTCTTTCCCTGTCGACCTTAAGGTCGTTGGTAAATACTAATTCTTCTTTATCTGAAGCAACCAGTTCGAGATTGTCGGAGGTCAATTTTCTTCTTGGATTCCAACAAGCCAAACCGTCTCTGTTGAGTTGAGTTAGGAAAAGTACGTTTGATTTTTCATCGAAATCTGAGGCAGAAGCTTGGGTGTTGTCTCCTCTTTCACCCTCAATCTTTAGAGAAAAAAAATGAATTCAAATTGTTGAATGTTTCTATAAATTAAATGTCAACTCACAGTGTAAAGATGATAGGAGTGTGGATCAGTAGCGAGTGTTTCGTTTTGCAATACTTGAGTAGAAACTGAAAATTCACGGGTAGAAGCCAATGGGTGGAAATACAAAGTACGGTAACTGAAATAAAAAAGGTAAACTCAAAAAGTATTTTAATAAAAACTGAATTTAAGAAAATAATGTTGTAGTAGTTCACTTACCCTCCGTCTTCTTTGGCTCCTAGAGCTAAGCCGAACACTCCGTCGGTCCATTGGAAGTTGACGCCGCCAACATTGAAGTCTCCCTTGAGAGGATCGAAGTGAAAGAAGTTGTGTTTCACCCTCCAGGCGTCGTTTTTCTCCCAGGAATAGACGACGATGCCGTAGCCTCCGAGATCGGGGATGTAGGCAAATGCCTTGTCGCACTTGTCTGGGTTAACATCAACAATCTGAAAAAGAAGATGGTTAATAATAAAAAACATATTCACCATTTAATTTCAGCAAAAACGTGCAATTTACTTTTAAGTAAGTTTATCAGAATTTATTATTAAACTTATGTATATGTTACCGGCAATGTGAAAAATCCGACAATGTGCGAAATGTCTAGATACTCTGCAAACTGACCAATTTACCAGACATTGTGCAAAATCACTACCATCTTGGGCAATCTGCAAATTTACTACGCTATTTTAGGCAATTTGCAAAATGTCTGGTGCGATAGTCAATCTGGGGATTAAAGGTTTTTACTTCTCACATGTGCACATTGACTAGGCAGTATGCGCAACACTAATTTACGATAGAAATGTAAAAATTGAAAAACTGAATTTTGTTTTTAGAAAAGAAATACTACAAATAAAAATTAAATTTACAAGCACTTGTTATTTATATAATGGTAGGTACAACAAAATATGGTAAAATAAAACATTTTTAGAAAGGTATTTATTTTCGCCGTGATTAGAAGTACACCGGGAGTACTGGCATTAAATGTACATCAGGTTTGTGCGCATGCGTGTTTCCATACCACCTGATGGTAAATTCAAATTTTTAAGTTGAGATTAAATTGGTACACTAAGGCCCAGTTGTATAACAGTTGGAAAACAGCTTGTTAACTCTTGATAATAATTATGTAATTATTTAGCTAACTTTCAAGTTGTATAAACATTGATTAAAATTTAATTAAGTGATTGAAATATAATTAACAACAAAATTAATGAAATGTCAGTATGAATTACTCAAACCAACCCAAACTCAACAACCCAACCCAACCGACCCCGCCCCATTGGCCTCCCCCGTCCCATTGAGTGACCATTCAATATTATACAATTGACAAATTTGCTAAATAAGGATTTTTTTACCCGGTGTACGTTTAATGCCCGTACTCCCGGTGTACTTCTAGTCACTTTGATTTATTTTTGCAGGGATGACTGAATAGCGAAGTTCTACAGAAGTAAAAGTATTGCGCACACTGCCTAGGTAGTCATTGTAAGAATTAAAAACCTTTAATCCCCAGATTGACTATCGACATTTTGAAGATTGCCTAAAATAGCGTAGTAAATTTGCAGATTGCCCAAAATGGTAGTGATTTTGCACAATGTCTGGTAAATTGGTCAGTTTGCAGAATATCTAGACATTTCGCACATTGCCGGATTTTTTACATTGCCGGTAACATATACACTTTGCTTCTGAAGATGCAAACATCGTTGGCGAAAAGTACTTTAAGCACTTTGTGTTTTGTTTTGGTTTTGGGGAATATTTCTAATATTTGTTTATACTTATTTGATATCAATTATTTATTTAACGCTTCAAGCCATTTTGTACTATTATTATATGTATTTATTTTATTTAAGTATTATTGTAATTAGGGATGCACCGGATCGGGTATTTTGCCGATCCGGCCGGAACCGGAATTTCGGCCGCTGGCCGGACCGGATCGCCGGATATCCGGCCGGATCGGGACCTAAATTTAAAATGTATGTGCATGCCTATTTTTATACGTAAAACATTGAAAATATTGAGGCTGAATTATTTTTACTTTTTTTTAAACTAACTACAGTATGCAGAGTATTTATTACTATTAATTTTACCTAGATAGAAATTACTGTTTATTTAAATATTAATTTTTAATTAGCGTTAACAAAATTAAAACAATTCTACTCATTCAATTGTAGAATAGTAGCTACCTGCCAATAATAAAAAAATTAAAATGAAGTCGGGGAACTACAGCCGCCGGTCTATCATAGGCAAAGAAACACGCACACCCTGACCACTGTTACTAGCGGATGGCGACAGTCGGTCATTATTAAGTTGACAGTGTTGCTGGTTTAATCAAAATAGAAGAAACGTCAAGTTAAAACTAACCTACAAAACGACAAAATGGTAAATAATTCAATCAAATCATAAAAGTATTATTTGTACTAAAAATTTGTTATTTACGTTAGAAATAATTTAAAAATCGTTGAGTAATTAATTTTATTTTATTATAGGTTAATATACCAAACTAACCCAAACTTAACAACCCAACCCAACCGACCCCGCCCCATTGAGCCCCTCCCGCCCCATTGTCACAATCCAGCCTGCCCTTATATATATATTGTACAATTTTCTGGTTTAATAAAGAATGACTTTAACTTAAAAAAAAAATATTATACCTCTATTGCTCAATGGGGCAGGAGGGGCCCAATGGGGCGGGGTCGGTTTGGATGGGTTGTTAAGTTTGGGTTGGTTTGGTATGGCACAATGCAGTGCACCTGCATAACCAAGATGACTGCTATTCGTCATAACCTTGAGGAATACTTGCTACATTTAGCCTCTAGTTCAATTATTACTTGATTAAACCGGCAATACTGTCAACTTAATAATGACCGACTGTCGCCATCCGCTAGTACCACTGTTGACCAATTATAAAATATATCTGGTCGAAAGTCGGGGCATCCCAGACGCGAAAGTCGGGGAATCACAGACGCGAAACTCGGGAAATCCCAGACGCCTGCTAATCATAAGCAAAGGCACAGGGCTGCAGGTCATTTCATTATTCATTTAAAATAATTTTCTTAATTTTTGCATACAGGGTGTTTACGGTCTAGGGGTCGAAAATTGAACCGGCGGTGTAAGGTAATAAAGTAATGGTAGATTTGTAGGAATTTTGAAAAAAAAATCAATTATAAAAAAGTTATTAAAATTTAAATTTATTCAAAGTTTTGATACAACTTTTGAGGGTCATTGGTTTGATACGGGTGGAGACTTAAATAAAAAAACTGACAACAAAACGTTTCTTAAACAATAAAGAATAATGTCATGGATTTGAATACTTCAAAAAAAACTTTCTAATTCCGTCAAAAAACTGAATTAATTTTGCAATGGCTCATGTTTATTCTAATAACGAATTAGTGGATATGATAATGGTGTACGGGGAAGCACAAGGTAATGCTGAAGAAGCAAGTCGAATTTACGCTAATAAATTCCCAAATCGCTTTCACCCCGCGCCTCGGAGATTTTTTAACGTAACGCAGCGAGCCCGCGATACCGGGGAGCTCCAACCCCATTATGGTCGTGATGGGGGCCCTGATAGGTTGCAAAGAATTTTGAACGCAGATGTTGTTATGTAATTGCCAAAAAATCTGTTATACAGGGTGTTTACGATTGAAAATTGAAAAAGTAAAATCGCATTAATAAATAATAAAACACTCTTTAATTCAAGCTTTTTATTTTGGAACTACATTATTAAAGCAAATGTTCGAAGTTTCCTCCGTTGCAGTTTAAGCACAGTCGTGCGCGTCTCAACAGCGATTGGCAAGCTTGCCTCATAGCACCACCTTCTCGTAACTGTTTTGTAGCCTCGTGGACCCTTTGACGAAGCTCATTGACGTCTTGCACCTCTGGCAATCCTGGCCGATAGATTAAGTTTTGTTGTCAGTTTTTTTTATTTACGTCTCCACCCGTATCAAACCAATGACCCTCAAAAGTTGTATCAAAACTTTGAATAAATTTAAATTTTAATAACTTTTTTATAATTGATTTTTTTTTCAAAATTCCAACAAATCTACCATTACTTTATTACCTTACACCGCCGGTTCAATTTTCGACCCCTAGACCGTAAACACCCTGTATAACAAACACAAAAACGGCAATGAAAACTTAAACGATATAAAATAACACAAAAAACAAACAAAATAAACGAAATAATACACGAATTAAACGAAATATTCAAAAACACAACTGACAGCTTCGAAATTCTAAAACGTCAAATTCTTTTTTATGTGTCATTTAAATCGCAATTGTTGCCAACTGAAGATGTTTAAAATGCATTCAAATATTCAATTACAGACTTCGATTTAGTCATTTAGTGTTGGTACCAATGCGTAAAATTTTTGTTTTATTGATGACGTGTACGTAGTTTACTTTTAAATTTACTATATATTATTGTCGAGCCGCCAATTATAAATTAAATAATATTAAAAATTTAAAACTTAAACATTTCCAAAAAGTTCCGAAAATTCCGGCTGGAAAGCGATCCGGCCGTAGCGATCCGGCCGGAACGGTAGTTCCGGCTAATTGGCCGGATCGGCCGGATTTAGTGGTACCGCCGGAATTCCGGTGCATCCCTAATTGTAATAGTATTTTATTATACAAGAGATAATGCAGGCTATAGCCAAAGATGAGGTTTGCGTCTCAAGCTGTTAGGCGAGAGACGTAATTCATCCAAGTAAATAATGCGCATTAGTTCAAGTGTAATATGCTTTTTCTACTCCAATTAAGTAATTTTCATTGATAACAAAATTTATTATAACCTCACTTTTCACCGATTTTAAAGATCCTTATACTCTCCCCTCGTATATATAAACAAATCTGACATCTGTTAACCTTACTTTTTCCCAATTTAAAACCCGATTGGTTAAAAAAACAGTGAATATTAAAATCAGCCAATCACTGATGCCTAACAACGTGAATAATGAGTTTATTATTTACGTTGTTAGGCCGAGCGGTTATATTGGTTACCATTATTTACGAAAAAAAAAACAAATAATGTCAATAATACGCAATAGGAGTAGAAAAACATTATTATTTCCTGTTTAAATTTTAAATTATTTAGTTTATCTACTCCTATTGCATAATATTGATTTTTTTCGTGAATAATGATTAAGATTAAAAATTTCCTGCCTAACAACGGAAATAATAAACTCATTATTCACGTTGTTAGGTATTAGTGATTGGCCAATTTCAATATTCACTGTTATTTGAATCAATCGGGTTTTAAATTGGGAGGTCATGTGACTTTAATAATATTAAAAATTGGTAAAAAGTGAGGTCAACCATTTGAGTGATGTCAGATTTTATTTAATTATTTTTAAAAATTATTTTGTTATCTACTACTCGAGATTATGCGCATTATTCACTCGGATTATTTAAGTCTCTCGTCTGGCAACTCGAGACGCAAACCTCATCCTTGTGAATAATAGCCTGCATTACTTCTCGTATAATAATATACTATTTATAAGGATTATTATTTTATTATTATATATAAAAATATAACCTTACATTAATAAATTGATTTTAGTATTTAGAATTTAGTATAAATATATAACATTTTAAGGGTATTTGGTTTAAGTTTGCGTGATTGGAAAATAAAATATTTAAGTGCTGACCATTACTCGAACTATTGTTTGTAAAAGGTGATTTTAACGTATAATTTTCTTATTAATATTTTACTAGTAAAATACATACTCTACGTAATAAGCAAAATGTAATCTGATACTTTTTGATAAAATATTAAGAAGATGAATACCATTTTTTTATTTTTAAACATTTACATATGCATACGACATACAAGTTGTTAGGAAAATGAGTTACTAGATTAAAATGTTAACTAGAAATACTTTTCATTAAAATTTCTTCGTTTTCAAAAATAATAATAAAAACATTGGTAGGTACGAGCTAAATATATATCAATGGATACTTAAACCTACATACATAATAATATTATTTACTGATATTCACTTTGTGGTTGCAACCACAAAGTGAATATCAGTAAATAATATTATTATGTATGTAGGTTTAAGTATCCAATTACATGTAATTTACAACTTGTAACAAAAGTAAAGTTAAAGAAAAGTTTTGAAATATTTTTTACAAAAGCTTTAGTTGTTTTGAAGTTTTTTCATAACAATCAACAATGTTGGGTAAACCTGTGTATGAAAAGTTTTTACAAAAGTCATGTTTAGAAGGTTAAACAGTTTACCAGTAGGCTTTATTTAAAAAGTTTCTGAAATGCTTTGAAATATAATAATGTATTTTCGGGAAATAAATGTATTTTTTATTAATATTTCTTGTTAAATATATTAAAAAGTAAATAAAAAAATAAAAAAGACCATTTTTAAAATGTTTTATATTATTTGTATTCGACAATGGTGCATTTTATGGATGTTCAACAATAGTACTGTTTTAGGTACAAAACTCTAAATTTTTATATTCTGCACCCAACTTTCAAATAAAATTGGACACAAAATTTGTTTTAAAACAATTAATGTGGAAATCGGTTCCCAAAGTTGTTTAACCAACGGCATCATGACATAGGCGGCTGGTGGATTTTGGGTACACCGATATCTCAATTATTAGATATGGGACCCACACCAAATTTATATGAGTTTATAATGACATTAAGTAAACAAGTTCTGCGCAAGCAGAATTAAAAAAAAATAACTTTTAAAATTTTTTATTATTTCTTTAAAAAGAAATAAGGCTGAGTTTTAAAAATAAAAATTAAAAACTGGGTGTGCCCCCTGGTTGCGGTTAACTTTGTTTTACAGTGTATTTTCCGCATAAAATTAACTCAATATTTTATTTTATTTAATTTAACAATTAAGACATTGCATTTAAATTTATTTTTACTGCTTCTACCATTTGTTTTTTTTTATACTCGAGAAGGTCTCACAGTTTGTTTATTTAAGGCAAAGATTAGAAAATGGATTACTTACTTACATAAGATTTATGTGTTTATTAGGTAGGTACTACTTGTCACGTCAGTATACGGCGTACCTAGTTTTAAGTCGAACTTGCTTTACTTTTAAGTCAAACTGCCTGTGCGTTTGGTATCTTTGGTCTATTTAATGTAGGGTTCGTTAACCCTGTTCAACTATTTTATTCTTTCTTGTTGATTTATACGGATTTATTACTTGGGAAGGTATAAACACACCCGTAGGCTCGGTGAATTATTATTTACGCAAATAGCGACGTGCAAATATTAAAAACTGATCTGAATATCGCAGATAGCTCCTTGTCCCCTTGTAATTGGTCTCTTCCAGGTTCATACCACGATGAACCACCTGTTCAGGTTCCGTGACTCAGACAGGTGAGGCGGCAATTTACTTCGCACTTTTAAACTTTTAGATCTATATTTAGGTTTTAAAATGCACTGATTATGCATTGTATACTTGTTTATAGTTCAAAGCGGAGATACTAGCACGTGTCACCCGACCACTTTTGTTAACAGACCTTGTAGCTCTTTAAATAAAAAAAAATACCCATATAAGGATACTTGTCCACCCTGTATTTAAGAAAAAATATACAGCTTCCATTGTCCAACCACAACTCCTTGTTTATTTATATTTTAAATTTTAAAAATTATTTAGTATTTTACCAAACGAGCTTAAAAGTATGAAATCATTTTATTTGTTTTGCAAAAGGGTAAACATTTTCGGAATAAAATTGTCATAAAAAGCCTATTTAAATAATTTTTATATATAGGATTTAAACATTTATTTGAAGGGGTCATTGCAAGAAGTGCATAAGTCACATTTTCAATAAAATTGACATTGTGGCGCTATCTAAAAGTGTTTCACTTCAGCTTTCAGGTGGTATTTGCAGAGTGGCAGAAATTTGTGTCTAAGTGCCTTAGTTTGCATTTACTTCTATGGGAGTTTACCTGGTTTTCAATTCAAGAAGTACCTAAGTCATCATTTTGACAGATGCAATGCAACATGTGCCTTAGTCCACGTTATTTAAATTAGGTTATATCTGAGCAAATTACCTATTAAACTGTAAATCCTAATAATTTGTGTCTGTGATTAATATCATAACTATGGCAGGTAAGTAAAGTAAAATAAAATAGATTGTGGAACCAGTTACCGTTTTTTTGCTCGGACCTAGTCTGAAAATGAATGTCATTGATAAAGAAATTGATCAGTTACAAAAGGCCGACGCTGTTTATGAATAGCCAGCCTTCTTATTATATTCTTAGTTTTGCTTTAAGTTATGTAATAAGTTATGTCTTAGTCTTAATATTGTTCACAATTTATATATATATGCATTAAGTTAAATAATTAGAGAGCATATTAATAACCTAGTTAAGCACGACAGGATCTCTTTAAGAAATTAGGTGCACTAAATTAATTTAACATATTCTTGTTAAAAAATTGTTATTATTATTATTTTTGCTGAATAACTATTATTATTAAAAGTAATAAATTGACTCAGCCCATTTAATAACAACTTATGCATATCAAAATTACAGTATAATGTAATTTAAATAAATAAAAATATTAATGAATAATTGATATCCATGCATTCAATTAATAAAGAAGTGTAAACGCAAGATCAAGGCTGCGTGAAAACCACAAAGTTACCTTGATTATTGTTTAGGCTTTAGTGAGAATAACTGCTTTATGTAGGTAATATATAATAGGTAAATCAGATTATTTCCAGAACAAATTAAAAACTAATAACTGAAATGTTTAGTCATTGTTGTTTATACCTTCTATTGTTACTAGAGTTTGAAATTACCTAAACATTAATTTTAGATTATATTACACTTTTAATATTGGATCAAACTTGACTTTTTACTTATATTGGCCATAATTAAATATTGAAAAAACTACAGTTTAAAATTTTGTAAACAAATTGCATATTATTCTATAGATATTAAACTGTTATAAAATGAAATGGAAAATTATTTTAATTATCACCAATATTGGTCATATTCAGGGCAAATGCAGACATTTAGGACATACAAAAGTAATATAAGTTCGACAAAATTTTAAAAGATGTCTTAGGATAAAAACGAATTTGTAAAATATTAAGAGGGGATACATCCAAACTTCTCGGCGGCCAAATTTGGTATCTATTTTAGGTAAAAAACAGTTAAATTTATTTTACTTACCACATTGGCAAAGAAAGAGTCCTCCTTCAACACAGAGTCCTTCAAGGGGATTCTCCTGATAAGTTTGTCAGTGGTCAAATCAAATACTACAAGAGCAGGCTTAGAAACTTGTCTGGGAGATCCAAGAATATCTTCGAGACCGGTATCCATGACCCAAAGTCTGTCGCATTCGTCGACGCGTACCCTGAATGTGGACACAATTTGATTGTCTTCGATTTTGGCATCTTTATCTTTGGGTGTGGTGTTGGCTTTCCAGTCGGGATAAGGAATAAGGGGGGCGGATTTATTGTTGTTTTTTAAGTCCACGTAGGTGAGGGACGAGGCTACGCCAGCTTTCCATCTGTAATGCAATAAATTGGCATTAGAGATCGTCTTTTAAAATAGACAGAGAATGCAGTTAAATTGGCAAATAAAAGATATTATTTAAATCTACTTATTTACCAATCCTTTAAGACAAATAGTTATATTTAATTTAAAACTTATTTTGTAGATTTTTTAAAAACATTTTTAGAATTTCTAAGGTAATTTGTGGTTAACGGGTTATCCGTAGACCCAGTACCGGTGACGTCACTGTGATCATGAAACACCCTATATATTACCAGTAGACAAAACCTTAGACTATATTACCATTTTTTTTCTACAATTGAAAGAAATTTCGTAAACTGTATTATCATTAATATCAAATATTCAAACAAATCTATAGTACATAATTACTTTTTCGCGAAATTGCTATAAAATGATACAACACGGTCTTTTTTATTTATTATTCTTTATATTTATTATTATTTATATTTATTATTATGTATATAAAAATATACTGTCTTAAAATATATTATATTTTCTTTATATTTCTCTTAGTATACACTGTTTAAAATTTCATGACCATTTTAACACCAAATTAACATCATATATGGTCTATATCGATACAAACTAAAATGGTGGTTAAATATGGTTCAGTGTAAATTCAAATACTAAAATGGTGTAAATTTAACTTTCACACAGTATTAAAATAAATTTTACCTGGTGTAAATTGAACTCCTTTTCAGTGTTAAATATTATGTATTTTTGGTCAAATTAAATCATACTACACGGAAAAAAAGGAAAAAAAAGGAAACAGGAAGTTCCCTGACGCATTACAAGTATATTACCAGTGGTATTATTCCAGAAAATTGAACCTTCAACTCGCTAGAGATAATGTTTTTAGTGCGTTCCACCAACTTAAAATACTTCAAATATTGACAGCTGTTTCCACCTATTTAAGGTCTCTTTAGTATCGAACAACTTGTAGTGTCACACCAAAGCAAAGGACTTCCTGAGCTTATATACTCTTCATGTAAGTCAACAGAGGCGAGATTTAAGAATATCACGTGATCCACACCGCCTTTGCCGCGATCGGTACACACTATGCAACCAGGAATGCACGGCAAATTGTTTTAATCGTTTTAACAGAGTGCTTTAGGTTAAAGAAACTCTTATTTTACAAACAACATATTAAGTAAACTGAACCATACAGCGGGTTGGTTTCACTAAAATTTTCTGGATTAATTAATAACTATCTGGTTTAGTACCGTCAAACTAATCTTTGTTTATATTAACCTTCCCACAGTTGATTTAAATAATTACTTATGGGTCAACTAAATTAATATAGTTAAATGAACTATTCCTTTTTTTCTGTGTAGGTGCACTTCTCAAATATTTAAAGATAAACACCGTTTTGGTGTTTGCTGAATATAACATTTTCAACCATAATTCATGGTGTTTATATTAACACCACTTGGTGTTGGATTTTGACACCATTTTAAGATTACTCTTTACACCACAGATATTTTAAACAGTGTACAATATCGTTTCGATTTAAATTTAGGAAAATGATGGTTTAATTAAAAAAACCTTTAAAAACTACACTGCCCTGCAAAATTATGAAATATTTACTTAAATTTAAATATATTTATTCTACAAAAATATTTAGACATCCTGTATTAGTTATTAGGTTCGATGCTTGAGTCACACAGTATCATTAAATTGTCGGTAAAAATATTCGTTTTTATATTATTTTTTATCCAGACGACAAAACGTCGATGATTCTTGCAATTTTAAGCAGTCATAAATATGTTTTTACAAATTTATCAACTGCCTTACTAATGATTTAAAATCTTGAAAATGAATAACAACAGAGTATTACTCTGAGAGTAATGAATCGCAACATTTCAAAAGAAGATTTTGGAGTGGCCGTTGCTCTATACTAGAAAGAAAAGAGTCAAAAAGAAATAGCAAATCGACTTAATGTAATCGGCGATTTCAAAACTGATTAAACGATTTTACGAAACGGGTAGCAATGAAAGAAGACCAGGACAAGGGCGAAAAAGGATATTTTCACCTCAACAAGACCGTTATTTAAGAATCTAAGCCCTTAGACAAAGGTTTGTAACACGTACGTCCTTCAACAAGAGTACTCTAACTAACTTATGATGTAAGAATAAACCAGGATACCGCAGCACATCGTAGGGCTTCACTGAATTTTGCTACCGAGCACCTTTATTAGGGAGTAGCTGAGTGGAGTCATGTATTATTAGTGATGAGTCCAGGTTTTCTTTAAATAGTGATGATCGTCGTAGGAGAGTATATAGAAGACATGGACAACGCTACACCCAGTGTAATGTGACAGAAACTCTTGCTTTTAGTGGAGGATCGATAATGGTTTGGGAAGGCATCAGTTTGCAGGCTTATACAGAACCAGTTATCATTAATTGAGGAAGTTTAACGTCTGATAGGTATATTTATATATAAGAGAAATCTTAGAACCACCAGCAATCACTTTAAACCAACTCAGAGGGAAGATTTTAGAAATATGAGAGGGCATTGATCAGGAGTTCATAAAAAAAATAATTTTGAGTATGGGGCGACATTGTTAAAGTGTGGTGGAAATACTCGATATAAGTGTATAAATGTATTTATAAATAAACTGATTTAGTGTAATTTTAAATTTTGATACTTTCAATTATTTTCTTCAATAAATAATAATTAATAAATATAGACATTTTGCCTAGAAACCGGTCTCTATAATATATTATACATATATATATTATACATATATATATTATACATATAATATATTATCATGGTAGTTGTGTAAAAGAGAAAATAATGTATTGGCCAGGCCCTGCAAATAAACATAACAATTACTTCCTGCACTTATTGAATGTCATAACTTCATAATTAATTATGATTTCTTGTGACCTTTGGGTAATTAATTTTAATCCGATGTACAATTTCATCAAACTGGCTTTTAAATACTATTAAACGACTAACATAAGTACATATTATGTACTTACATAACACACCTTGGCATTAAAATTTCTCAGATTTGTTTTCATTTATGCAAGTACATGTATATCTACAATGCAGATTCTGCATATTTAAATTAAAATAAGAGAATGTGATATAATGGGATTAACTAAATATATAATTATAATACTAATTATAATAATATCGAAAAATACTTTAACAATATTAATAAAGTTCTAATTAAATTATTATTATAAAACTGATTTTAATATTCAAATTATATTTATAAAAAAGTGTATTTTCCAACTTCCATCAATAGATACGATAATATGTTATAAAATTAAATATTTTTTTAAATTAATAATAAATCGATTCTTGTTATTTTTGGGTCTGCAACATTAAAATTATAACCGAAAATTTGACACCAAATATTGGTAATGTAAGCCCACAGTAATCCCCCAAAGGGGGTCTCCGGATCAGGTTGCCAATGAAAAAAAACTTTTTTATTATGCGTTTTACCAAAAAAATCATTCCATATAAAAATCCTGATTCTCTTAAAAAAGAGATAACCAACAAAAATTGAATCAAATGTGCTCAGAAATTAAAAAAACATTAAAATGTAACAAAAATTGAATCAAATGTGCTCAGAAATTAAAAAAACATTAAAATGCTTTAAGAGAGAATAAAAAAAATAAAAATTGATATTAAAAATGAAACTGAATGAAAATTAATAGATTTAATTGCTCCAAAAATAAGTTTATTTGTTTATTATAAGATTCTATTTAGACTGTCCTTCAATATTAAAGAATGTATTACAATTTTGTGTATTTACCATAATTACATATTTAAATTAATTTTTAAGAAAATTTCAAATCTCGTAGTCTCATTGGACAGAAACCGTGAAGAAAGAGATTAATTTTCTCGACTTTTCTCAACTGAAAACGTATAGGAAAATTACAAACTCTTTAATATGATTAGAAAAAATTATATTATCAAAATTATTTTATAAAGCAAATGTTGTATTAGTTTTTGGGTTCAAATGAGTAAGGAACCTGTCCTACACGTATATAAATGTCTTTAAAATATAATTGTGTGTTACAAAAATGTATTAAATACTATAATAAACTTAAAAAATCTAAATATATACATTCAAAAAGGAAATTCTTCTATTATTCCAAAAATAGTTATTGGTAGACCTAGAGCAATAAACTGTAAGTGTAATGTGTGGTTACTAACCACTGGTTAGTAGGGGTGAACAAAATAATCGATTAATCGATTATCGAACCGCCGATTTTTTTTTATAATAATTGATTAATCGATTATTTGATTAATCGATTATTTAATTAATCGATTATTTGATTAATCGATTATTGATTAATCGATTATTTTATTATTATAATAATAATTATTATTATTTTAAATAAGGAATGTACGTACACTTATACATTATGCCCAATATTTAATTTCCATACCTAATTATGAAAACGTAATAATTATTATATTATTATAATTAATTAATTGTTATAATTAAAACAATCAAATATGTAAATAAAAATAATAAGACCAATTGATCATTTTTTTTAACTAAACAAAATAAAAATAGTTATTTTTCAGAAAAGCCATTTTTATGATTTATGCTGGGTTTAAAAAATGCTGCTAAAAATTTGTATTAAATAATATAGGTCATAAGTATTAAAAAACAAGACAATTAATAATTTAATCGATTAATCAGTAATTGATTAATCAAATAATCGATTAAATAATAATCGATTACTTAAATAATCGATTAATCAATATTCGATTAATCAATAATCGATTAATCAAATAATCGATTAATCGAAAAAATCGATTATTTTAGATAATCAATAATCGATTATGAATTTCGATAATTGCCCAGCCCTAGTGGTTAGTACTGGTAACCTCTAGTCCTTAATATATTATTATTTTTATACTAAAACTGTAAATTTCAGTTTTTATATTAAATACTTTAAAATAAACACACATACATAACTTGGTTAAAACATGTTGGTTAAGCTTTTCTGACGAGCCAAAAAAGATTCATGCAAAAAATTACTATGATCAATTTTGTATTCAAACTTTCTTTTCTAAATCCAATCAAGCATAAATATAGCCTTATGGCCCCTTTTTCCAAAAGAAAACAAATTTAATTTAACAGTAAAATTTAATTTAAAATTTTAGCAAAACTTGTAAACCGTTGGCCTTAGAAAAAAAGAAAAAATCTTTTTTTCTTGTAGGAAATTAAGTTTTCCACAAAAAATGTCATATAAGTCGAATCTCTAAAATTAATATTTAAAAAGCAAGATAATTTTTTAATAAAAAATAACCTTATTGGCGTTGTTCCAGTTCTTAAAATTGTTAATAGCTCAAAATTGTACTGATTAATAATAATTAAAATACGTGTAGAACATAATTAAAGTAGATATTAATCCTATAGGACTGTTAAATATTACAAAAATTATATATATTTTTTTGTTTTTTTTTAACCCGATACAATAATTCATATTTTGCCAATAATTATAATTATTGGCAAAATATGAATTATTGTATCGGGTTAAAAAAACAAAAAAATATATATAATTTTTGTAATATTTAACAGTGTACCGATATACCGATAGGTAATATATTAATTAAATTAAATTTAAAAAAACTAAAACTTTTAAAATAGTATATCACCCTGTATGGAATATTTTAATTTTATTTTAATACGCAGGGTTAAATATATTTTTTTATTTTTATGAAACGTTTATTAGTAAACATTTTTAAGTATAATAATTAAAATATCATTGCCATCAGGTAATAAAATTGTAAAAAACATTTAGAAGTATAATTATTGTATCAACATATACTAAAAATAGTTATTTTCACAAGTTTTAAATAATTTTAATATAACTTAAAAAAAACACAAAAAAACCTAAATGAACATTATGTTTTAATGAGTATATTAATACTTATAGGTATTATAAAATATTATACAATAAAAAATCCTTATACTTACTTTGGAACAGTGACAAACAGTTTATCCTTCCACCTATCCAAACCCAGGGGCAAGTTATTAGCGGAAATGTATTGTCCCTCTTTGATAGCGTTGGCTTTGGCTTCCTCGCTGGGCCAAGCAAACTCGACCTCTTTCCATTCGTAGACTGTCTCCAATTTCTGGGCACCGCTGGCAAAAGTCGCCACGGCGACCACAAGTACGGCTACAACTTTCAACATGTTCCCTGATTCGGCCTCCACACTGTACAGAGCTGAAACCAAACTGACCATCAGCCGGCAAAAGAGATGGTATTAAAGCGTTCTTCTCCCACTAACGCACGATGGTCTTCGGCCCTGAACCCGGCTGGTGAATTTATTGTTGATGATAAGTTTGTTTAGCACTGTTTCTTATTTTTTTTACGAGATGGTAATCTACCAATCCATGAATTATTCACGAGATCGTACCTATAAGGTTTTATTGGCAAACCGATTGGTGAACGAGTTGTTGGATGAAAGTAGAGCATCTACAGGGTTGGCAGATTTAGATCTTTTAACATTTAAATATTTAAAAGAAAAGATTTATATTATATTATACAGGGCTTTCCATTATAATGGAAAGCCCTGTATATAGTAAATATGATCGAAGGGAAAGTACGAATCCAGTGTTAAACAAATTTTTTGTTGCACCCTCTCACCTCCAGCTACATTTACTAAAAAAATTAAATTAAACTATTGAAGTTAAAAAAAAATCCGATCACGAATTTGCAAGAGCCAAAAAAGTGTAATAGAACAAAGAATTCCATAAAAAATATTTTAAATGTTTGAAATGTGCTGCGTTATTTGATGTTCTCAAACACTTATCGAACTTTTTGAAACGTTCCAGGAGTTATCTGCCTACATTATTGAATTATTCTTCCAGTTCTTGATAGGTGGTGTTTTGTAAACTTGTGTTTTTAAATGACCTCAAAGAAAAAAATCAAGTGACGTTTAATCTAGAGATCTTGCCGGCCATTCTTAGGCACCTCTTTTACCAATCTATTTGTCGGGAAATCTTTGGTTCCACCATTCTCCGACTGGTTAAGCATAGTGAGGAGGAGCTCCATCATGTTGAAAGTACAAATGTCCTTCATCAAGCAACATGTTTCCTTGTTCGTCCAACTAAGTTTCTAATGACTTGGTAGACCCCCTTATTATAATAAGGGGGTCTATAACATTTTAAAGAAAATCAAAAAATTGCCTAGTCAAGTTTTCTTCAATAAAAAGCGGTCAAATTATTCCGTTGCCAAGAATACCAGCGAAAACATTGATTTTTTGACTATACTAAATATTTATGATCCTCTCGAAAAATATGTGTATTTCCATTGTACCAGTACCCACAATTTACAAAACCATTTAGAAAAAAAGTATATTCATCGTTTTTATGAAACAAATTTTTAAAGTTTTTTATATTTAATAAACTATCAATAAATAATATTTGATTACCTTATTTAAATCGCATCTTATATAATTAAACAAATTTTGATTAATCATTGTAAATTATAAAAACTAGTTAAACCATTAAAGATCTAACGATATGATTGTTGCGCATACCTTATCTATAGCCATACCTCTTAAATCGTGTTGTTAATTATTCTTTGAATTTATTGAACTAACGTCAATGCGATACATTTACCTTGGTCGGTTTTACTTTGCCATATTAATGTAGGGGAATACCTACCTGAACTTAAAGACAGTAAATGAAACAATTAACATAAGCTAATTCCTTTCGGAAATGAGTCGTTAACATTTTAAAAATATCGTTTTATTTAAATTATTTTGCGTGTTATGGATAAAAAATAAACAAGGTATCCTAAAAATGATGAACTATAAAGACATTATTTTTTGTCTTAATAGTATTAAAGTATTTTAATGCTTAAAAGCATTTTAGTTTAAAAAATCAATGATCGAATAATGAATGCCATGCGGCTTTAAAGTGTCTGTTTGTGCTTCCCTCAATTGTAGGCCTTCGCTACGCGTGGGCATTGAAACTTTGATCTCAGCACAAAAAGAAATAAGTAGGTAGTGTTTTTTTGCTCAATGTTTTATTTTATTTACAATCAAGTCCGCATTAGTGACTTTTAAGGAAAATTCGTAATTATATCGAAATTAAATCCACTTTTCAGATTTTTATTTTATTGTTTTTAATTTCTTAAATGAAGACGGGGAAGAGAAATAGGGCTACAAAAATAATTATTGTAATTAGGTAGAGAAAAACTTACAATTTGCATTGTATCCATGATAATAATAATAATTATTATTTGTATCGTGATTGTCAGGGCCGAATTCCCGGGGCTCGTAGGCTTTGGGGGCCCGAGTCCGCGGCTAACAAACAAACAGCTAAATTGTAAAGAAAAATGCGCAATGCATTGTCAAAATTTAGCTGTGCTAAAATGTTTTAAGGTCTACAATGAATCAGGGTTGGCTATCTGACTGTTAGCTGTTAGCAATAGAGGTTTGAAGTTGCCAAAAAGTGCAACTTTGATCACGTTATATATGCAAATCGCGGTGCTATTGCAATAAAAATTATTTTTTTTACTCGCGGAATTGCGTTCGCAAAGTTGTACTTTTCCGCACACTTACTTTGCGCATGCAAATGCGTCAATAAAATTAAATTATGAAGCCTGTAATATTATTATTATTATTTTAAATTAAGAACAAAAAATATTGCTGAAATAATACAAAAATATAAGTAGCAACTTTCCGCACGCTTATAGAAAAATATTGTTCCTAACACATGTGCAAAGTAATTGTTCCGCACTTCCTGCAAAAATAAGAAAAAAAGTGTATATGAAATGTATGCTTTAAACCAGCGGTTCTCAAACTGTGGTACACGTACCACAAGTGGTACGTGAGGCATCCAAAGGTGGTACGCGAATAGATAATAGATGTACTTGCCTTCAAATAAAATTATGGTTGGCTCTATATATCATTTCCCACATTTTATATTGTAAATGGCAAAACTGTTGTTGGTGTTTATTAAACGGCAGGGGCGGCTAGTGTATAAGGGCTGCAGAGCTGCAAAACTCCCAAAATTTTCTTATTACTTGACTAATTTTTTAATTATTTAATATTTAAGTGCGACAGTGTATAAATATTTCAAACGCAAGGCTGCATAAAAAGTTTTTATTATAAACATTTGCCTTGTCGCCGTACTTGGCCACTACAGTCATCCAAACGACCGGTAAAGGTCTATAACGCTTAACGCTTACAATACAACAAAGCTGGGCCACTTTCGAGTTCTGGCACCCATTTCAATACCGTAATTTTGCTCCGCGCCGCTCTTGGTCCTGGGTTAAGATGGCGAAATTTTAGCCAAATCGGAGCTGCACCAACATACAGTTCCTACTTCCCGGTCGTTTAATTTTTCGCTTCGCGTTCACGTTTGTTATTTTAACTAGAAGACTGTTAATTCGGTGTATTTTTGTGTTTTCTGTTTGTTGTTGTATTCTTTTGTAAGAATGAATGTGGTGTATGATTTAATTATGATTTAATTAATTATCTGTAGGTACCATTTAATTAAATGCCAACTGCGCCACATTTTTTTAAACCCCACTGGCAGAACTCACAAATTTTACTGCCACGAGCCGCCACTGTTAAACGGGTAATCCCCTGCTCGTTTTAATTCGTGACGAGTCATGCGTATTTTGTTTTGTTCTGACAAATTGTTGTTTTAATACTATAAAAATTGGTTCTGTTTGTTATCAATATTTCTTATTAAACTAAAAGTTCAATAGATACGTACACGCAACACAACTTGTTTTATTTAGTTCGGTGGTACTCGATTAATCCACATTGCACATGAATGGTACGCGAAAAAAAAACTTTGAGAACCGCTGCTTTAAACCTTTGTTTTCGAGACACAGTGTGTTTAAGTTAATAAAATAAGTATGGTCACGCCACTGCTTTTTTATGAGTTTAATATTATATTTATGTTAAGCAATTAAAATAACAACTTTTTTTTTCTTTTCCAGTGGCGCGCGTATAAACGAATTCGATTTTCTCTTAAAAACTAAACAGGAGAGAGAAAAAATGCAAGAGATAAGTTGCTTAATCTAAAAATAAAATTAAACTTATAAGTACCTATATCTATAGATATAACTATAGTTGTATTGCCCCAGTACCGCATTTGTATTCACCTAATTAAAGTTTCTTACATTAAATTAAGCCCTTTCCCATTATTAAACACCTAAAGAATTTTATTACATTTGGCCAAGAAGTTTTAATTTAAAAAAAAATTGTTTAATAACTTTACCACCCTGTATCTCAACATACAAGTCCTATCGCCTACTAAATGTTTTATTTATCTGAGTTATACAGCCCGTTCAGAGTAAAACCGAATATAGGGAAACGTATGGGGCGTGGCCTCGCCTCCCTCCAACGCGCGACACAGTAGCTAAGCAAATAGCCTGCATCGCTAATGAGATTTTTTGCATTATTATCATTTAATTTTTTAAGTCGTCTTACCTGCTCGACCTTTCGTCATGTCGTTTATCACACAAGCTACTGTGCCGCGCCTTGGAGGGAGGCGAGGCCACGCCCAAAACGTTTCCCTATATTCGGTTTTACTCTGAACGGGCTGTATATGTATAATTTTATATAAATAATACTATACTGATTTATTTTAAATCCTACAACTGAACTAGGTACTAAATTAATTTTTTTTATTGCCCTATTAAAAAAACAAGGGGCTCAAAAGGCTGAAAACTCCCAGGGCCGGTTTCGGCTCTCGGCCCTGATGATTGTAACATGTGTCATTTTTGTAATAAAGGTAGATTCACACAAAATGTCCAGCTCTATAGGGAAAAAGCTTATAATTTTTATTCATATACATTTTCCGTCAGATAAATATCTCTATTTCTTTTTATGAAACCCTGTTGTTTAACTTTTTTAATTAATTCTGATTGTATTTTCGATAGTAAAGTCATTCGTAAAAAAGTTACAAAGTGTTTCAATAATATCAGCATTAAAGGCGATGAACATACTTAGAAGATTGGTTTTCAAGTCGAGTTGCTTAGGAACTTAAAAAGAACATTGTCCATTTAAGAAAAACCTTTAGAGCCACCAGAATTTCGAAAACTTTAAAAATCCACATCACTCTTAAACATCTTGAAGAATATCTGAGCTATCTTAATCATAATGGTTAAAATCATGAAACATATATAAATTAAATAACATTAAAAACCTAGATATGATGATTTTATATTAAAAGTTTTCTTCTAAACATTTTGTTATTTTTTATTCAACTAAACGATTTAAAAACCTTATTTTAATTTCTTATTTATAAATTGATATATCAAAGGTACGTTAATAATATTAACTTAATATCATCTGATGATAATCATCAGCATTAATACAAAACAAGTAATAGAAAGAAATATATTCACGAGGATAAAAATAATTTTAATATTTAAAATTATGAAATTTATATGGGTATCAACTCTCTCCGATCAGCTTT